AAATGAACAAAGAGAGAAAGACAAAAGAGACATAGGCAGGGAATATACAATTGAATCGAATTATATTAAAGAAGAAACACAGAAATTATATACAATTTGAATTTGTATAAAACAAGAAAGATAGAAAGTCAAAAGAGACTTGGGCAGGGAAACATTTATAATGTATAATTATAAGTACATAGAATGGAGATATATGTATTTGTATGTGTATATATATAATTTTCTCTCGCTTTATACAAACAGAAACACAATTTATACAAATCCACTGTATAAAGCGAGAGAGGCGAGCGACAGGGAGCGAGCGAGAGAGGGAGAGTGGCGAGCAAGAATATGAGGGAGAGAGGCGACTGACAAACAGTTTGCTAAGGAACACAAAAAAATCAAACGGTAGCTACTATATTTATTTTACAAAATTAGTTTATTATTATAAACAATTATCCCTTAATTAAATTATGGTCTTGGCCCATAAGCCACTCATTTAATAAAATTAGTAATTGTTTAATAAACACTAGTTAACTATATAACTATAGTTATCAAAAAGTTTCAAAATTTTCATTTAAAATTTACAAGAAGGTTCTTTTATGAAAGAAATAGGTCTAGTACTTAAAACGACTTAGTGGGTCGTACATATATACCGAGTCATATAGAGAAGTCGAGATTCGTTTGTAGATGTTTCTGGTTAGTGAAAATGAAAATTCAGTAAATATATTCTTTTATAATTTATCTAGCTATTTATAAACCTTTTAAACAAATGAGTTATTTTCACATATAGCAAATATAAAAAATTATATTTGTATATTATACTAAATGTCTAAGAATCATTAAGCAAATTGTAATTTTTATGTGATAATAATATATCACATAATAATAAGGGATCATGCACAAGTACCCCTCAACCTATGCACGAAATTTCAGAGACATACTTATGCTATACTAAGGTCCTATTACCCCCCTAAACTTATTTTATTAATACTTTTCGACCCCTTTTAGACCTACGTGACACTATCTTGTGGTTCCAATGCTGGTTAATTTTTTTTTCCAAACTAGTGTCACGTAGGCCTATTAACATCCTTTTATAGGTAAAGAAAATAAGGTAAATAAGGTAGAGAAGCCTATTAACATCCTTTTATAGGTAAATTTCAACTAAAGAAATGATATTTAGATTCCCACAATCTTATACTAAGAAGTATTCATATACTTTATGGTAAGAAAATAAATAAATAAAAATTAAGTATTTGGATTTAGCGTAACAGCTTATCATCATTAGTTTATGAGAAGATACGATTAATCTAATTTAAAATATTTTTATGCACCTATTTTTATTAATTATTATTCTAATCTTTATCTGAAACACCTTATAAATTTAATTAGGACTGTACACAAGGAAAAATGAGAGAACCATTGAGGGGTGCACATCCATGTACAGCACTGCGACCTACCACCACAATCGTGGTTCATATTTGAAAAATGTGGAGGACCACAGACTATTTCACGAGTTGTGGAACTTCACACGAGCCGCCAGGTTGCCCGTCAAAGTGACCAAGAGCAAACCAAGGCCACTGAGAGGAACCACGGATCGCTAGACAGTCAGCGGAACCCCACAAGGGCCGGTAAGTGGACCGTGGAAGTCACCCATAACCATCCTTGTTCATGTGAGGAACCACATCTGTCTTTATGGTCCATGGTGTTTCACACGGTCCATGAAGTGAACCGTTGGGCGAACATGTCAACCTTCAAGTGTTGAATCAACTTCAAACGGTATATCTTTTATCATAAAATGAATTAGGTGACTCATGACCTTATCAAACTAAAGATAATTGAGTCCTCTTTCCACGCCTTCGAGTTTGCTAAAATCCAAGTTCAAAATTAAAAGTTACGCTCGTTTCAGTAGAGCCTTGTTGGGAGGGCCATAAACCACGACCCAATTGACGGACAGTGATTCAAATGACAGCTCGTTAGTCCCTTCGTGAATGACACTTCGTCGATTTTAAGTCAGGGTCGTTTGGTGTTTTTCCCTATGCATTTGACACTTAATCTACGTCGTTTGATGTCTAAACTATGTCGTTTCACTCAACCTAAGCCTAATAATATAGTTAGAATCACCCCAAAACCCTCATCCTCCTAAAATCACCCAGCTTAGAGTAAAAAGACGAGAAAGAGGCGACCAACTTTCTCAAGAACAATCAGAAGCGTTTCTAGAATTCAGTTGATTCCTTTCACCCATTAGTTGTCTAGAATTCAGTTAGTTCTTCATATTCTAATAAACTGTTCAAACCTAGGGCTTCTAGATTTTCAATATTTATTGTGATTATGGTTCCTTTTATCTAAATAGTTTGTCTCTTGATAATCTAGTATAATTCCTTGCATAGAACTTAGAACCCTACCTTGTGTAAATTTATCTTAGTTCATGAGTTATACTTGATAGGCCAGTCAAACATAAATTCATGCTTCAGATTTCTAATGCAATGTTCTCACTATATAAATGTTGCATTCTGAGTTAGCATGTCGATAATTTAAGCTATTCAGTATTTAGTGCATTTAAGATTTATGAATATTTAGTTGAGAGTAGACTTAGGACCGAGTTTGCCTAGGGTTCAACTTACCCTCATAGTTCTAGAACTTCATGCCAACATAGGTTTATAAGTCCCCTCTACTGGACATCAATTTTAGTGATCATGCCACAATCATGCCTTTGTACCCATTGCAAGGTATTATGGGTCCTCTCGATGGGAATATATATCGAATTTCATGTTTAACTCGCGTGATTTATGTCAATTAATCGTAGCTCCTATTGTTAGACTCTTAGTGCATTTGGCCAAATTTTTCAGCATTTACTTCAGTTATCAGTTCAATGCGTTATCTGCTTGATTAGTACTTAGTCATTGCATTCAGTTTAGTTTTTTTACTTATACTTCAGTATCGATATACTTATTCAAATTATATCATTGTTCAACTTATATACTTTGTTAGCTTAGCGCGCGCACACACACACACACACACATATATATATATATATATATAGCATGCTCGAAAAATTCCATGTACTAACGCATACTTTACGCTTCATTGTTTCATGATGTAGGTGAGGTACTCAATATCCAGATCACGCTTAGTTTGATCCTAAGTGCGACTTCATTAGCTTCAGTGCTGAGTCATCATACTTCAAGGATAATAGACATGCTCTACATTTCAGTTTTTATTTTCAGTTATCAGTTTGTCAGAGTTAGTTGGGGGCATGTCTTAGTAACTCAACTTTGACTTATCGATCTGTATCATTTTTGTTTCAGAAATGACTCATTTGTGCCATGACTAAAGGCTCGTTGCTATTTCTGTTTGGAGATCATGATTGGTTTTTTCCCTTAGTTTTTGATAAAACGAAAAAATAGTCAAAATTCACATGTTGGGTTAGAAATAATTTAAATTTGTCATTTTTTTCATCTATTGAACCATTATTGTCCTTAACGTTAAGATTATAAGTCTGAATTCATGTGGATAATGTTAAATTGTTTTAACTTTTAAAATTTAAAAAGTATTACATAAATTCGAATAAAGAAAGTTAATACATGCACCGAGAAGTAAAATTTTTTATCAATTACATAATGAATTTTTCTTTTGTGTAACGATAATTGGATGTAATCGTACAATTATCTTCTTCTTCTTTTTCTTATTTTTAAAAAAATTAAATTTGTCTTTTATATTATCTTGATTTTCTAAAAAAATATATTGATGTATAACATTATATGACAACGAAAACAATATAATTTATACAAATTTTATATTTATCAAAACAATAAGATATGATATAATTCAACACAATAGAATATAACAAACACTATAAAACAATAGTATTAACCAAACATAAATTGTTCTCCACCAAAGACTAACCCTTTGATGAAACTTAGGCGTCATTTGTTTTCATTAAGATAAGAGGTATGCATCTGAATAGACATTTGAATATTAAGTTTTGCATTAAGATCTAGGTGTTTAGATTTGAATACACAATTGAATATTAAGATGTAGTCTTCTCTAAATCTAAACATTAAATAATTAACGTTGTTTGTTATCAAATAAAAAATCATCGCTTCTCTGCTTTTAAGCGTGCATTTTTATTTCATAACTAAAAACTTTCTTTCTCTCTTTTCTCAATCAAACACCATTTTTTCCCACTTGAACTGGTAAGTTTTTCATAAATCGTTTCAATTTTATTTTTTTATATTAATAATTTTCTTGTGTTGACTGTATCAAGAACATAGTTGGTGTATTGACGTTTATCAAGGTTTTTGAATGAAAAAAGTTGTACTTCCAAATCATGATTATTAGAATTTTTAAAACTTTCTTTTAATCAAAAATGATATATTTTGTTGAAATGAAATTTTTATGATACTTTATTAATTTGATGTTAAATTCACATGCACATTCAAATATTGAAAACAAACAACATTAATTATTTAGTGTTCAGATTTAGAAATCACATCTTAATATTCAGATGTATATTCAGATCAAAACACCTGAATCATATTTGTGTTCAGATTCAGATCTCTTAATCTTAATGAAAACAAATGAAGCCTGAATGTTGTTAAGAATCTCCTAATTCATTCATACCTCTTCAGATCCATTAAGAGATTTTTTTAAAAATAAACAAATAACTTAATGGGCAAAATCTAAATGATTCAGATTTGACCAAAAAAACAAACGTACTTAATAGGTTGAATCTAAATAATTAAGATTCATACATCCATTAAGTACAAACAAATGAGACTCAAGTCTTAATAGAATCATAATAACACTTTAAAATAAGATTTAAGTGTTAAGATATTAACCAACAATTAAAAATATTGAAATTTCATAAAAAATATTAAAGATCCAAAGAAACAAATCTAAGGAAATAAAATTCAAACTTTCATAAACTTCCTTATCAAAAGGTCCTCTCGAATTGCAAAACCAAAGAAACACACATTGTGCTATAAACAATAGTACTATCGCAAATTAAATATCTTATTTTACGTCCAATTCAGAAGTTCCTCTATAAAAGCGTTGTCTGGAGAAATATGAGCTTCTATCATATCCGCCTCAGTTAGAAGCTGAGGGACGTACACATTGTCATCAGCCTTCCCTCCATCAACATTTTTCAACTGCTCCTACATTAATTGATACGATCATGAAGATTCTATCAAGTGACAAAATTAACTCATAAAAGTATAAAAAAAGTAATTAATTTTATAAAATTTGGCCAACTTACTTGAACATCTTGGATGAGTTCCTTATTAGATGATGCCTTACCTATTTTCACAAATATAAAAAAATATATTTTTAAAATTTTTTCATTCTAAATATAATATATATGTGAAAATTGAATTTAACAAATTACTAAATATAAAAGTGATGATTAAACAAACTAAAACTAAAATAAAATATATAAATTAAACTATGTTCTTATACATTTTCTTCCTCCAGCCTCATTTGGATTGAGCTTAGCTCTATACCTCTGCAGAAAATCAATAACATATTTTAAGTATATATCATATTGAATTATTATTACGGATATCAAATAGACAGATTGAAATATAATGAATGTACAAATTTAAATAGATTATATTATTAAATGTACAAAACATTAATTTATCTTCATCGATGATTGTAAATAAAAAAGAATTATATAAAAAACCTGTAAGCGATTCTTAATTTGACAATGAGATATTCCAAAATGTGCCATTTCCTTCCAAATATGCCTTGGCTTAACAGCTGCAAACAAATTAAAATTTGTAAAAAGAATATATGTATACCACTAATTTAGAACAATTCAATAGATGATTTAGATCAAGTTTGATATATTAATTAAAAAAAATGAGATCATGAAATAAACAAAAAAATTGTTTTTGTTGAATTAAAAAAAATTATCTCATTACTTGCCTTTAATTTCATCCAAATATTTTTTTAAAATAAAAAAGAGTGAAAGAAAAATAGATCTACATGCTAGTTACTAGCGACATGCAATCATCAGGCGTTGCGGTGAGATATAAATAAAATTTTTCTATTTATTATTAAGAATTTGAACTTGAACTTTAAGAATAAAATAAAAAATTGCAGAGTAGGTTTTCTCATTAATAGATTTTATGTGGTATAAATTTTAATAAAAAAAGACAGACGAATACACAAGATTTATGTTTTACAAATAAAGTAAAAAATTTGAGCATAAATAAATAAATATTGTGAAGGGTAAAATTTATGCTAACCCCAAGGTCCGCCATTAGCATCAATAACATCAAGAAACTTTCGATGCAAGTCTTCTGTCCAAAGGACGCGAGGTGGTTTAACTCGCGAAGTCGACCCAACATTGTTAGGCTGCTGGCCAAGTTCTTGTTGAACTTGATGAGCTACATTGAAATTTAAAACATTCGGATTAAGCATAAAAGGGTCTTGATAACTAAAAACATTATTATTAATTGTACTCTGTCCACCAAAAAGTCTCATGGGCCCATGATTTTCCAAAAACGAAAAATCGTTAGCTGGTTGATAGTAAAATAGTGATTGTTGCAGACTCATTAGTTCATCGTAGTGAAGTTGCATAGTGGGGATGATTGACGATTGAAAATTTCCAATCTCGACAACCGGGGAGGGGGGAAGGGGGAACATTTTAAAAAGGTAAAGAATATTGTAGCTTTGTGAATGTGGGGTATTTTGGAGAAGCCTATTAACATCCTTTTATAGTTAAATCTTAACTAAAGAAATGATATTTAGATTCCCACAATCTTCTACTAAGAAGTAGTTATAGAATATAAGGTAAGAAAATAAATAAATAAATATTAAGTATTTGGATTTAGCGTAACTGCTTATCATCATTAGTTTATTAGAAAAACAGATTAATCTAATTTAAAATATTTTTATGCACCTATTTCTTTTATTAATTATTATTCTAATCTTTATCTGAAACACTTTATAAATCTAATTGGGACCGTGCAGAAGAAAATATGAGAGAACCATTGAGGGGTCCACGGGCCATGTACAGGACCGCGACCTACCACCACAATAGTGGTTCATACTTGGAAAAACGTGGAGGACTACAAACCCCTTTCACGAGTCGTGGAACTTCACACGAGTCACCAGGTTGCCTGTCAAAGTGACCAGGAGCAACCCAAGGCCACTGTGAGGAACCACAGACCGCTAGACGGTCCATGAAACCCCACAAGGGCCTGTAAGTTGACCGTGGAAGTCACCCTATAACCATCTTTGTTCATGTGAGGAACCACGTCTGTCTATATGGCACATGGTGTTTCACACGGTCCATAAAGTGAACTGCAGGGGAATATGTCAGCCTTCAAATGTTGAGTCAACTTCAAACGGTCATATATTTTATCAAAAAGTGAATTAGGTGATTCATTACCTATCAAATTAAAGATAATTGAGTCCTCTTTCCACGCCTTCGAGTTTGCAAAAATCCAAATCCAAAATAAAAAGTTACACTCCTTTCAATAGAGACTTGTTGGGAGGGACATAAACCACGACCCAATTGACGGGCAGTGATTAAAATGACAGCCCGTCAGTCCATTCGTATATGATACTTCGTTGGTTGAAGTCAGGGGCGTTTGGTTTTTCCCCTATGTTGCGACCTGTTTAGTCGTTTTGAGCAGTAGAGTTTATTTCTGGTAATAACTGTCTGGGTCGACGGATCCCACGACGGACCGTCATGGGCATGACGGACCGTCGAGGGGGTCTCATTCCAAAACACTTAGACTCTGGAAAAATTGGGTACTGAGAACAACTCTCTGAACTTCGCGACGGAAGAGCAGGACGGACCGTCGTAGGCACGACGGACCGTCACAGACTCTTTAATGAATTGAGTCTCTGAACTTTGTGACGGAAGCAGCAGGACAGACCATCGCAGGCATGACGGGCCATCACAGACCTCTTAAATAAATTTGAGTCTCTGAACTCTGTGACGACTTAGCAGGACGGACCGTCTCAGGCACGACGGACCGTCACGGGCTGCGTAACCCTGACTGGGTCGGATTTCTGTTAAAAGTCTTTAAGGGGTGTTTTGGACTATTCCTGCTTATGATTATAAAGTTAGTGGTTTAATGTTAATAATTCAATTACTTGGGGGTTAAAGGAGATAACCTTGAATTAAATAGTGAGTTACTTTTGTCATCTTTTATACTTGGTTATATGGTAATTAGGGTAAAAGAAAAAGAGTTTGAATAAAGAAAAATAGAAAGAACAGAGAGAAGAGGGGAGAACGAACGAGCGAGAGAAGAGAGAACAAAGAGGAAAGCAAAGACCTTGAGTAGTAGCTTGTGTGATCACGAATTCTTCGGTGGAGGTAGGTTATGATTTATGCTATTCCGTAGTAAACTCTAAATAGCGATTGATATGTATTGGGTAATTTTGTAAAGTCTTCTATATGCTTAATTGTGTGCTTGCATGATTGTGATTATATAATTGTGATGAATTAGCATGATGAGGCTATTGAATCTTAAACCTTAAAACCTCTTTGTTAATGATGATGCCTTGGTATAAAAGAAGGCTTGATGAACTGAAAGAATGAGATTAGGGGATCGGGTGTCACGAACCAACACGTAGAATTAGGGGATCGGAGTGTCACGTTCCGACATCAGGATAGTAAAGGATCGGAGTGTCACGTTCTGACACCAGGATAGTATGGATCGGGTGTCACGTTCCAGCACCAGGATAGTAAAGGATCGGAGTGTCACGTTCCGACACCAGGATAGTATGGATCGGAGTGTCACGTTCCGACACCAGGATAGTATGGATCGGGTGTCACGTTCCGACACCAGGATAGTAAAGAGAATGAATCTTGAATTATGCTAATATACTCAGATTTAATGAACCTGTTTCCCAAATGAGTATGGTGTGGAGGCTTGAGTCCTCATAGATGTGCTTGGGTTGTGCCCAATGGTTATGGTACTTGTTGTTGTCACCTGTTAAGTGTTATGGTTGATTTTATGTTATTATTTGATATATATTGCTCTCTATTCTGAGTTGGCCGATGATACCTACTCAGTACTTGTGTTTTGTACTGACCCCTACTTGTATGTTTTCCCTTTATTATTTGTGGAGTGCAGCAAACGTACCGTCGTCTTCAACTAAACCGCAACTCTAGCCAGTCTTCATCACGTCAGATTTCAGGGTGAGCTATTGTTCCTAGCTCGGACTGGATTCTCTCTCATTCATGTCTTGACGTCCTTGAAGTTCGGACATGGACCATCTGTTTTCTTATTTTAGCTTCCTAGACACTCCTAGATTTAGTAATTTGAGGATAGAATGTTCTTGTGGTGATGACTTCCAGATTTTGGGGATAGTAATTGATAAATTTTAGAAGTTATTAATTGATTTTGTTAATGAGTTTTAAGTCTTCCGCATTATTTTATGTTTATTATGATTGAAATGTTGGGGTTTAGATTGGTTGGTTCGCTCACATAAGAGGTTAAATGTGGGTGCCACTCGCGGCTCGTTTTGGGTCGTGACACCCTATGTATTAGGAACTTAAGCTACGTCATTTGATGTCTAAATTACGTCATTTAACTCAACCTAAGCCTAATAATCTAGTTAGAATCACCCCAAAACCCTCATCCTCCTAAAATCACCCAGCTTAGAGTAAAAAGAGGCGACTAACTCTCTCAAGAACAATCAGAAGCATTTCTAGAATTCAGTTAATTCCTTTCACCCATTAGTTGTCTAGAATTCAGTTAGTTCTTTAGATTCTCATAAACTGTTCAAACCTAGTGCTTCTAGATTTTTAAGATTTATTGTCATTATAGTTCCTTTAGTTTAAGTTTCTCTCAAACCCTTTCTTACTTAATTCGTTATTTCACCTTAGACTATTTGTATTGGGAATTAATTAATGGACAACTTTCACATATAGAAAACACAAAATTCAAATTTGTATGATATAATAAAGTTTGCATAATTGCTCTCAATAGCAAACATATATATACAAACATATATATTTATAATTCGCTATACATATACAATTGAAAGTTATGCCTATTTCGCTATACATATATACAAAGAAGCAATTGTGTAATTCATTTTCTCCTCTTCAGATTTGTATACAATTGAATCGACTTTTATAAAACGAGAAAGAGAGAAATTATATACAATTTGAATTTGTATAAAACGAGAAAGAGAGAAAGGCAAAAGAGACATGGGCAGGGAATATACAATTGAATCGAATTGTATAAAAGGAGAAAGAGAGAAATTATATACAATTTGAATTTGTATAAAACGAGAAAGATAGAAAGGCAAAAGAGACTTGGGCAGGGAAATATTTGTATTGTATAATTATAAGTACATTGAACGAAAATATATATATGTATGTGTATATACAATTTTCTCTCGCTTTATACAAACATAAACACAATTTATACAATTCCATTGTATAAAGCGAGAGAGGCGAGCGACAGGGAGCGAGAGAGAGAGAGAGAGAGTGGCGGGCGAGAATATGAGGGAGAGAGGCGACTAACAAACAGTTTGCTAAGGAACACAAATAAATCAAATGGTAGCTACTGTATTTAGTTTATATTATTAGTTTGTTATTATATACAATTATTCCTTAATTAAATTATGGTCTTAGCCCATAAGCCACCCATTTAATAAAAATAGTAATTATTTAATAAATACTAGTCAACTATATAACTATAGTTATCAAATAGTTTCAAAATTTTCATTTAAAATTTACGAGAAGGTTCTTTTATGAAAGAAACAGGTCTAGTACTTAAATGACTTAGTGGGTCGTTATATATATACCGAGTCATATAGTGAAAAACTATTTATGCTATTGGTTATATTGTTTTATACACACACACAGAGAGGTCGAGATTCGTTTGCAGATGTTTTTGGTTAGTGAAAATGAAAATTTAGTAAATATATTCTTTTATAATTTATCTTGATATTTATAAGCCTTTTAAACAAATGAGTTATTTTCACATATAGTAAATATAGAAATTATATTTATATGTTATACTAAATGTCTAAGAATCCTTACGCAAATTGAAATTTTTATGTGATAATAATATATCACATAATAATAAGGGATAATGCACAAGTACCCCTTAACCTATGCCCGAAATCTCTGAAACACACTTATACTATAGTAAGGTTCTATTACCCTCCTGAACTTATTTTATTAATAATTTTCTATCCTTTTCAGGCTACATGGCGCTATCTTGTGGGCCAAACGCTGGTTGATTTTTTTTTCAAACTAGTGCCACGTAGGCCGAAAAGGGGTAGAAAATTACTTATAAAATAAATTCAGGGGATAATAGAACTTTAATATATTATAAGTGTGTCTCTGAAATTTCGGGCATAGGTTGAGGGGGTATTTGTGCATTTTCCCTAATAATAATAATAAAATGTTATAAGTTATTATAGATGTTAGATGATAGTATAATACCTTCATACAAAAAATAAGGGATGTTTTCACTATATTAGCGAAAATCTGTTTTGAATCATACATTTTTTCCGTGAAAAATAATTGAGATAATCATATTTTATAACATAAATTTCTCATTATATTGATTCGCAATAGGATAACATTTGTTTCTAGTTGTAAGAAAACCCAACAAATTGCTTTATTTCATTACATTTTCTGATATACTTTCCACTTCTATGACACCATATATTTTCTCTTGCAAATAATCCACCATTAACATTCATTTCAGATCAACCATATATATGTTTGAATGTCTTTGCTAAAAACCTAAAATAAACTTTAGTGAGTAATTTTCATAACTCAAAACGATCATTCAAAAAATTAATCCTCGCGAAAAAAAATTATACTTGTGTGCTTTAGAATGATATGAAATTCGATTAATTGGTACAATAAAACAATACTACAAATCCACTGATCAATGATTAAGTGCGCAGTTACACACACACAAAAATTTTACATAAAATTGTAAAATCCAAAAATTTATCATACAAAAAACCCAACTTAATTACATGTTGAAACGATATAATCCCTTCATTTATAATTTTTTTCTTCAATAACAAATGTATTTCACGCTCCAATGTGACTATCTTTTGAACATTGATCAATCTCATCCGCCATATTTTAAAATTTTCAAATGAAAAAAAGTAAGAAAATAATTATATTTGGTTTATATATATATATATATATATATATATATATATATATAA